GACAGGGCCCATCACGTGTGCAGAACCTCAGTGTCTGTCCCGCAAGGACATCATCTGGCTGTGAGGAGGATGAGGCCAGAGGCTGACGAGGAGACAGGACGGGCTCCTGGCGCCTTGGTGCAGCCCCCTGGACTTCCCCTTTGTGGACCTTCCTTTTCTTTCACAGTGAGAGACAGTCTACTTCCTCAAAGCTCCCAAATGTAACCAAACTGGGGAGAACTCCCTGCACCATAGAGACCCTGCAGGGAAGGGCGGGAGACGGGGCACAGCAGACCCGGAGGTTCAGCAAGGCCAGTATCAACAACCTCAGTAAAAGGGAGGCCGAGACCCTGAGATCGGCCAGGATACAACCAGACAAAAGCTGCCCAAACACGCTGCGGACAAGAAAGGGGCCACGTGCTAAATCTGCTGGCTCAGGAGAGGCCAACGTAGTGGCCTTACACACTCACGGGACCTAAAGTCATCACGTAGATGGTTTGATCATCAAAATTCCTAACTGAAAGCAGGTCACGTCCGAGGCCCGCAGCTTGCGTGACAAAGTCAGTCTTTACCTAAGTGAGCCTGCCTACTATCTTTTTGCATCAATAAGATAACATGCCTTTGAAATGTCAGAGTAATCTTCTTTCAGAGCCCTCACAACCCAGAGTGAACTGTCATTGTTATCTTAACCCCCGCATACCATCTCCATGCGGTAAATGTTCACCGTCCTGTACCCACAATGTAAAAGAAGTACCTGTCAGTGGCTGAGCATCGACCTAGGAACCAGGAGGTCATGGTTTGATTCCTGATCAGGGCACATGCCGGGTTGTGGGCTTGATCCCCAGGAGGGGAAGTGTAGGAGGCAGCCAATCAATGAGTCTCTCTCATCATTGCTGTTCCTACCTCTCTCTCCCTCTCCCTTTCTCTCCGAAATCAATAAAAATATCTAAAAAAAGAAGTGTGTGTCTGTTTTCTTTTATCCAATGTCAGAGATCCGCCCTCACGTTGCTCTCTCCTGCCTCCCTAATCTACCAATGGGTTTCATGTAACCCCTTTACATCTCCTCCTTCGACTCTAATGTATAAAAGAAGCTGCAAAACTGCCATTTCAGGAGCATTTTTCAACCAAATTCATTAAAAATTGCCCTAACCGGTTTGGCTCAGTGGATAGAGCGTCGGCCTGGGGACTGAAGGGTCCCAGGTTTGATTCCGGTCAAGGGCATGTACCTTGGTTGCGGGCACATCCCCAGTAGGCGGTGTGCAGGAGACAGCTGATCGACGTTTCTCTCTTATCGATGTTTCTGGCTCTCTATCCCTCTCCCTTCCTCTCTGTAAAAAAATCAATAAAAATATATATTTTTAAAAATTATCTACAGGTTTGGACATTTCTTACATCGACAATGGTTAACATGAGTCAACAATAGAACAAAAAAGCTCTGGATCCCTGGCTCTGGTTGGAAGGCTGAGCGGGTAGCTTCCTGGAGACAGTGGCCGCGTGAGTGCAGTTACCTGCGTCTGTCTGCCAGGGGCTGGAGCAGCCTCCCACGGAGCCCAGGGGCCTGTCTCTCACAGAACTGGTGTCCTTGGATCAGAGGGGGGCACCTGGAGGCCAACTCTTGGAGTCCACTCCTGCATGAAGACATCCTCTCCCCCTCTCAGACCCCAAACCTCACTCTGACCTCTGTCTGTCCTCCTCTGGCAGAGCCCCTCTCAGGGCCTACACCAGCCACGCAGGGGCAGGGAAACGTCCCTCTTAGGGCTGGTGGAAGGATTTGAAAGACATACAGAAGGTAAGAGGAGAAAACCAAATCTTTTTAAAATTGATTTTAGAGAGAGGAAGGGGTAGGGAGAGAGAGAGAAACATCGATTAGCTACCTCCTACATGCACCCGACCGGGGATCAAGCCAGCAGCCTGGGCATGTGCTCTGACGGGGAACTGAACCAGCAACCTTTCACCAACCGAGCCACACCAGCCAGGGCGAAAATCAAACCTTAATATTTGTGCAAGGGAATTCACATAAACATAAAAATTACACACACTACAAATGACATATATCCCTCAGTAAGGCAAACTGAGGTGTATATGTCCTTTTGGACTAAGGAGGGGGAGGTAGGCAATTCACAGGTGGTTGAGAACGATCAAACGTTCGGTAAATACATTCTTGCCTGCCCCCCACAACAGTCGGTGCAGAACAGAAGGTTCCCTGTTCTGAAGCAGGTTTTTCTCTCTGAATCTCTAGCACTTCATTCCTAAGTGAGAAGGTTCCCTGTTCTGAAGCAGGTTTTTCTCTCTGAATCTCTAGCAGGAAAGGGGGAGCTAACAAACTCTTCCTGAGTTTTTGGGCTTTAATTGTTTTCTGTTCAAAATAGTCTGACCCACACACCACAAGGGGCTGGGCAACCGTTTCTGTTGCTCAGGGGATGACGCCCAGCCAGCTGAGCCACAGCAGCCAGGGCTGGGCAACCATTTCTTTATCCAAAAGCACTTGAAAATGCTGCAAGTATTCTAATCGCCCGTCAGGAAGCAGGGCTCCTCTACTCCACAAGCTGTGTGTGAGCTGCCAGGACACAGCAGCGCTCCACCCTCCCACCGAGGGCTGCTAGCAGCAGGCTGTCTCCTTGGTGGCACTCCGTGGTTAGCGTTCCTAGGCAGGACCCTCACTGGCTTAGAATTACCCACCATGTTCTCCGATTGGCTCTCTCACAAGCAGGTGACCCTTGTGAAGCCCAGCGTCTCACAGGCTACAGGCCCCTGCAGCTCTAAGACACCAGGACTTTAGAGGCCAGGGGGCCACATGCAGAGACTGGTCAGAGGTCAAGAGGGCGTCAGAGCAAGCAGGTCTCAGGCCCTCCAGAATGAGGGGTGGGGGAGGGGGAGTTCAGAGAGGAAGAGGAATTTGAAGTTGCTTCATTCATTTCACTCATCTGGGCGCCAAGCATACAACATGATGGCTGGGAAGACCACAAGCCCGTGCCCAGCTAGGGACAAGTAAAGGGACAACGCAAAAGCCCCCAGATCAGGGAGGACAGAAAAGTCATCCCCTGGGCACCAGAGAGCGCCTCTCCCAGTCGGGGGGGGGGGGGGGGGCAGGCTGGGAGCCTCACCGGGAGAGGAGGCTGTGCCAAGGCCCCAGGCAGAGAGAGGAGGTGGGAAAGCGGGCGTGGAGCCTGGCGGAGTGTCTATCTGAAGGCTGGGGAGGGCTGTGACCACGCAGTCTCTCCAGGGCAGGAAATCACCCAGACAGGAGTGAGCAGGTCTGAGGGAGGGGGCCCAAGGGCTGGGAAAGGGCCCGTCGCCTTTCAACCTCACTCTGGCCTTGGTTTCCCCGCGCACCTCAAGGAGAAAGAAGGCCAGGCCTTTGAGCTCTGGGATAAAAGCGCAGCCGGCCCAGACCACCACTCCTGTAAAACAGGGCGGGTGACGCCTCCACTCTTTTCGGCTGGTGAGTAGCCTGTTCATCTTTGAAGATGAAACGTGCTGGGGCCTAACGAGGAGTCAGCCGGCCCTGGGAGTGGGGGCTGGGCTGCTGGAACCGTCAAGCGGCCCCACCGGCCCCACCATGGCCTCCCAGGTCAGAGCAGAGCCCCGCCCAGGGGTCGGGACACTTCACCTTTCTGTCTCCGCTGTGCCTCCTGCCAGCCTGGCCTGCTTTCTCCCCTCCCCTGTCCTGGGCCACCTCCTCTCAGGCAGGACCAAGGCCAGGGGGCTCCTGCCTCCCTCTGCAAAGGCATCAAGAGCCCCCTGTGCCCCTCTGCTGCCCTGGCCAGCAGACGCTGCACTTCTGCCCCGGGGTCGGGCCACTCCATGTTTCCAGGCCAAACTGGTCATGTCCTATATGGCCACTGGCCAGGGGGACGCTCCACAACTCCTGCATATGTGGGAGAACCGTCCTCAAAATAAAGGGTACCCCGCCCACTGGGTGAGGTCACGGGAGTGGCCCCAAGGCGCCTGAAGGTCGCACTCTCCACGTGGTGGACAGACAGCCCCTCCCTTACCTCTCCCCACTCCCCTCCTCCGCCCTGTTTCTTCCTTCTCCAGCCCAGGCCTGAGGCCTCTCCCCACTGCCCTGCTCAGACAGACCGCCCCGGGCTGACCCCACAACACTCCACTCGTCTCCGAGCCAGTGCCCAGGTGTCAGGAAGTAGCTGGCACCGGAGAAGGGACACGTGGGCGCTCCCACCCTCCACGAGGCCGCGCCTGGCAGGGCACCAACGTCAGGTGGAGCTGGAAGACAACCTTCCTCCACTCCCCAGAGGAGAGCGTGCAGGCTCCCGCTCTTCCTAATGGTCGGTTTGTGTTCACTAAGTAATTAATTCGTTTATCTGATTCGCAGGATAATGCCCAAAGGTTAGACTTCTGACTGCCAGCCCCCAGGAGCCGTTGGGATCACCCTTCCTAAACTAGGAGGGTGCCTGTCTGTACTCCGCACCCTGAGGCCCCGGGCGGGCTCGCTGAGATCACGGCTCCCAGGACCCAGGTCTGGGATGCAGTCTGAAGCCCCAAACCACCCTGCTGGCGCTCACCCCGGGGCCACGGCCTCACTTCTCTGAACCCACACCTGCCGCTCCCGCCAGAGTGTGGCTTCAGGGAACCAGGGCAGCGTCTGGAGGGGCAACGGGACGACTCGGGCTCAACGACAACCACGCCGAGTGGGGACAGGCAGGTTGACCGGCGCTGCCCTCGGAGAACAGGGGGCCGGATTGTCTGGACACCCCCTGGCTTCTCCTTCGTGTCCCTTCCCACTCCTCCCTTAGCAGCAGGCTGCCTGCGTCCTCTCTGACTGGCGCTGTGGGACTAATGGCTCGTGGCCTCCACCAGGCCGGGCGCCCGGCAGCAGAAGCCGAACGGCCTGCGCCTGTGCCCGCAGCGCCCAGCGTGGGGCCTGGCAGGGCCCAGACTGAGTCTCCACTCACCAGGGAGGCAGCTGCAGGTCTCCTTCCCCTCAGGGCCCCCAGGCGAAGGCGAAGGCCTGCCTCACCGCCCCGCTGGTTGGCCGTGGGGGCGGACAGCGTGGGGCTCACCTTGTAGTCTCGCTTAGCACTGGCTGTGGGCTGCTGCTCCTGGCGGGGTGGCGAGGCCTTGGAGTCCAGGTGCTGCCCGAGGGCTGCCGGCCTCATGAGGCGCAGGAGCCGGCTGAGTGCTACCAGCTGCGGGGGAGAGAGGCCGTCGTTACGTCGGGCGGCTCCTGCCCTGGCTGCCTCGCTGGCATTGGTGGCTGAGAGTGTGGGTTCTGGAGCCAGACTGCCAACTTCCAGAACCTGGGTCCACCTCTCGCTCTCGCTCTGTACAGTGGAGGTGCGTACACACCTTCCCGAGAAGGAGGGCACACGGGGTCACCCAGGCCTGGCACAGGGCGAGCCCCTCGGACGAGTGACCAGGGAAGAAGAGCTCCGGGGGCTGGAGGCTGCCCACTCGCCTGCAGTCAGCAGACACTCATGGGTTAGAACAGTGGTTCTCAACCTTCTGGCCCTTTAAATACAGTTCCTCATGTTGTGACCCAACCATAAAATTATTTTTGTTACTACTTCATAACTGTAATGTTGCTACTGTTATGAATCGTAATGTAAATATCTGATATGCAGGATGGTCTTAGGCGACCCCTGTGAAAGGGTCGTTCGACCCCAAAGGGGTCGCGACCCACAGGTTGAGAACCACTGGTTTAGAAGCATGGCCAGCAGAGAGGGTCTCCTCTGCCTCCAGGGAGGCCCCCTGGCTGAGCTACTCTGGCCCACTCGCCCGCGTCCCTCTCTTTCCATTTACCGTGTC